CACACACACACACACACACACACACACACACACAGAGAAGCAAAAAGGAAGAAGAAGAATCAGAGGGAGTGAGGAGGAAGTAAAGTGACAGAGCTAGAGGGAGATGAAGGAAAACCCTCTCGAAGTCTGTCGAAGGTGGAGGCAAATACTGACCAACGTAAAGGTCTCCTTGGAGCTGTGATGCAGGTGGAAGACGCTCGAAGACGAACAGGAGATATGGCGCCAGGTAAGTCTGTAGGTGAGTCCCTCAAAATCTGGCCTCCCTCATCGACCAAAAAAACAATGTTGCGTCCCTAAAGGAATCAGGAACCCCCTAATCCCCTACTCAACAACTAACCTACTACCGGGTCCAAGGGGGCCCGTGTGGCGCATACCCCCCCCCCCACATCGAGCTTCACCGGCAACGACAAAACTCTCTATCAGAAGGGGGGACCGAAGTCCAGGTGGGACGGGCAGGTTGTGTAGACTCGTTCGCTAGTCGTCGCTTCTCGTAGTTGGCGTAGATGAGTGGCGCGGAGGCTTGCAAGTTTGCTTGTGAAATCCAACGTGTATCGTTGCGGTCGCATTGCTTGAAGTTGACGTTGTACTGCGTCGCCTTGTTGCCATAGCGGCGATGCGTGATGACCCGGTCGATCTCCTGATGACCATCCATGGAGGGAGGGACTTGCGATTTGCCACCCTGGGAAGTTGTCGCTCTTGGCTGGTATGTACGTAGCCAGCTTGGATGCGTGGAAGACTGGGTGGACCAATAGACACAATGGGGTGTCGATGATGAAAGACGAGCCGTCGGGCAGATAGCCAGCGACCGACTTGACTGTCCATGGTCCAAACCACTTAGAGAGGAGTTTGTGCGCGACGTCTTGTTCGAGTGCGAACTCCTCAGAGGAAACCCATACGAGGTCACTGGCGCATATATGACATGGCACACGACGTCAATTAGCTTGTTGTTGCGTGCGGACTTTAGCCTTTTCCTGAAATTCCCGAATGGAGGCACGAGGGCAAGGGGCGTCTAGGGCGGCTGCCCGAGGGAAAAAAAGATCAGCGAAGATACAACCTTTCCGGCCACCATGGTGCAACTTGAAAGGAGTCGCACCAACCATCGGATGCAATGAAGTGTTGTACGCGAATTCGATGCCGAGGAGATGATCAACCCAATCTTTCTAGTCCAGATGGATAAGCGTACGAAGCACCATTTGAGCGATTTGATGTGGCCAGTCCGTTTGCCTGTCGGTTTGTGGGTTTCGAGTCGAACTCGGTTTCATCTCGGTGCCAGACTCCATGATGGAAGTCCAAAATGCCAAAATGAATAGAGTGTGATGATCGTCGTGGCCGCAAATCCAATCGGTGTGCAAGAGTCGTGCGACATGTGAACTCGGGAGCCGTTGCGTGGTACTTGCATGGAAAAGTCGTTCGTCCTTACTCAAACGATCAATGACCGTAAGGATACCGTCATGGTCAAGATGATAACGAGGGAAGGGGCTAGTAACATCCATAGCGATAGACATTCCGAGTTCCCCCGTGTCGAGCACATTGGTCCCACAAGGGGACCCTCCCGATCGCGTCACGCAGGATTTGTGGCAGGACTTTCATCCTTTTATCGCAGTACAAATGGAGCTTCCATAGCCGCTCCGACCGGTGCGCCAGCCATACCTCTTGCGAACCCCTACGACAGGATAGGGCCACGCGAGGTACAACTTACCTCCACCTGTCGGAGCTGTAAACTCCCTTGGTGGGCGTATCCCCGCCGAGATACCAGCCCACAATACGAAAGCTAATGAGTTGCAATCGCAGAGGTGGGCCAGCCGAGGGCGTTTCTCGTACGTTGTAGCATAGGGGGTACGCG